TTAAAACATAAATAAGGTAAATTATGAATTCGTAAAATTGGTAAGTTATTGATTTGTAGGACATTAATTATCATATTTGATTTGAATTTAATTGCAAATCTATTTATTGAATTTTGAAATTTTTCCACGGTATAGTGACATCAAAATTTGTAATAAGAGTTCATGAAAATTTCATACCTTAACAATAGGTAAGGTACCTATGCAGGTAATTAAACCCATAAATTACCTCTAGTCCAGGTAATTAAATCCATAAATTACCTCTAGCCCAGGTAATTGAACTCATATAATATCTTGGTATGGATCTTCAAACTCATATTGAGATAAAAATCCATACAAAATTTCTTTGGAAAACCAAAAAAAAAAAAACTATTACATGGAAGTCAAGTACGCATGTATGTATATATATATATATATATATATGAAACTCCAGAAAAAATTGCTTAATAAGAAAACTCAAAAAAAAAAAAAAAAAAATATACAAGGAAATGCATACACATACATACACACACACACACACACATATATATATATAAGGAAACACTGAATTTTAGGAAAGTGTTTTCATATAATTCCATTTATGATAGTGGCATATCTTGTAAATTTTTAAAAAATTATGGACATACTAATTACTTAATTGGTGAGATTGGACTGCAATAAAAAAAAAAGAGCATATGGACTGCATCTATTACATCTTGATGAAAATGAATCTATATCTAAGAAACCCTATCTTTTATCAAATTTCAAAGTGCCATTTTCTTGTTTTTATGTTTTTCTTCTCTTCCTCTACCCATTCTCAATCTCTTTTTGTCTTATTTCCAAATTAGTAAACTATATATAGTAAGTTAATATGAAAGCTTCCTGGACTCTATGACTTGAAGAAATAGAAAGTTGTAATTCGAGGGATGTTATCTGTGATGAAGAAACATCTTCGAATTGGAAGAAAAAATCTGTCTAATATGCTTTCTTTTTTTGAGTACAAGCGATAGTCTAAACTACAGGGGAGGGGGGGTTTCTCACACACACACTACTATGACGCCATAGGGGTACAAACTTGAGACAACTGATTTGCAAACCAAGACCCTTTTCCACTAGGATAGACCCCATTGGTAACTGTCCAAGGTTCTTCACTTCAATTTAATGAAGTAGAAGAGAATGAAGAAGAAGAAGTTGAACATGAAGTTCCGCCACAATCTCCTCAAGTAGCAAGTCCTTCAACACCACAATCACCAGGTTTCAGTTCTAGTTCAACTCCAAGAAAGAAAATGAATCTCAGTGGAGTATTTACTAGTTGTTATGTGTCATTGAACCAAAGAGTTTTGAAGAAGCTGTGAATGATGTAGCTTAGAAGAAAGCTATGGAGGAAGAAATTTCTGTCATTGAGAAGGAATCCATTTGGGAATTAGTGGATACCCCTGCAGCCCTCACTCCTATTCAGTGAAACCATCTATCTCTTCCACAACACACGCCTCTTTAGTCTCAACCAACAATCTACACCCGAAAGAGATAAAGGAAAAAACAAAAACAAAAACGAAAGTTTGTAATCTTAAGATAAGAAAGTCTGCCAGTTTGACAAGGTTTTCTCAAGTCAAACTCACGCCCAGTTATTCAAGCTCAAACTTAGGTTCCCAGTTGCAACCAATTATTCAAGCTGGAACAAATGATAATATTAGCCTCATGGATCAGATCTATTAGCCCATGGCACAATCTGAGAGACTCATCAAGCCAAATCATGCCACAACATGAAAATTGAAAGAAAACATGAGATTTGGAAGAAAATCAAAACGGAAAATAAGTATTAAAGACTAACCTGCGTTTTGGAAATGTCGGCATCTTCTTTGCCTCCATCCAAGTTCTCAACCTCCATGTTAGAAACAACCACATGCTGTCCATCTGAAGCCATATTTATCAGAAATATAATTCTATGGTTCTAGGGTGAAATGATGCTAAATTGTTCAAAGCATATACAGTGAGAGGCAAAGTATTTGTATATGTACAATTATAGATCGCGATGTAGACCCAAAATGGGTAACCAGCAAGACAATTGTAGAATGAAAAGATGGTGCAAATTCATGGAACCTGTAGCCCTGTTGAGTGCATGCAATCAATCACCCTTCTAAATATACCTATAAACTATGTACGGGTGTATTAAATTAGGATTTAAAACGGTGTTGCACATTCTAGAAAATATCATGAAAATATACAAGATAAATATCTTCTTTTATCCTTTAATTTTTTTTTTTTCCGATTCAAGCTTTAATTTCTTAAAAGATAATAACAATAATAATTCTTTGGTTTTGATGATTTAGGTGTTGGGTTTTGATTTGTACCCAATTGGGGCGTAAACTCATTTGCTTCGCAGAATGAATTTTTTGAGAATGAAACTCACATGTATAATCTCACAAAATGGGAATGGGAGATTTTTATTCCTGTGTTTGGTAACGTTGGGAAATAAGGACCAGGAAAGGTTACTTTCTCTCATTCCCATATTTAGTATGTGCAATTTTGGAAATGAAAAGCTGTTGATTTTTCTAATAATACCGTTTATTTTTCTATTTAAAGTTACTATTGAAAAGTGGTATTTAAAAATTAGAATAGGAGTAAGTTAGTTCCAAAAAAATTCATTAAATGTTTTCCCAAGTGGGAGGAACACAGTTTCTAGAAATTTAAAAATTCACCAAAAGCATTGGTTTATGGCTGCAATTGCACTTGAGAGAAGTACAGAAAATAGTTGAAAACTGTAGTCACTCACATATATATGCAGTCATTAGAATTAGTAGTGTCTCGATCACGGTCACCAACCCAAAACGTTGTCGTCTTCGTTCGTTCCTTCTATATCTTCTTCTTCTTCCTTCCTAAGCCCAAGCATTAGGAAGGCCCAAATCAGTAGGGTCAAAACTAAATTTCCAACCAACTTATACTATTCCTTCTATATCTTCTTCTTCTTCCTTCCTAAGCCCAAGCATTAGGAAGGCCCAAATCAGTAGGGTCAAAACTAAATTTCCAACCAACTTATACTATTCCATTAATCACATTCACATAAACTAATAAAGTTAGTACTAGTACTTTATTCAGTCAAATTTTCAATGTGAAATTTTATATTTTTTTAAAAAATTTAAAAATAAATAAATAAAATACTAAACTTTAAAACTTAGTAAATTACCATGAAGAAAAATATCCAAGATCAACTAGCAATATATTGCTAGTGCTTGCTCTGTCATTCGGCTCACCTCTAAAATGTGATAATTAAGGTGTGAGAGAATGAACAAACATTGAAAAAATGCAATTGACAAATCAATATATTAATTGAATTAGTAGCTTAGTCTTACCCAACTCAATTTTCTCCAAACGTCATAGAACTTGAGCTCTTCTTGTTCCTTGTAAAAGAAAAATTCATCCGCTTACCCAATCACTTGTACAAATTAGGGCCTCCATCACTTTTGGAGTCAAAGAAACATGAAAAGGATACAACCATCCAAAATGAATGTAGATTCTAACAATTTAAGTTGAGGATATTTAGGATTTTAAACATCCCACCACAAATACTTATCCGCTTTGTTTCTTATCTCAACCACATCATTCTCTTGTCTCAACTTCATAAACTCAGCAAATCTTTTGACCTCAGTATCTTCTTCATCATTTATCATAAGTTTATATCCCTCATCCTCTCCAAAATGGAATCAATGTAAGCTTGGGAAGCCCGGGAGTCGGCCATACTATAGTCCTCATATATGCGTTAAAAGGTCCTTGTTACATTTTCCGGCCAAATGCTATATTTGCAGTAATTTTCACCCTACTATTAATTGGAGCAATTTCCGGCAACTCTCGGTGTAAATATCCTTTACATCTCCCTTTACACCCATGCAATGAAGATGTTCTCATACTTAACCATTTGAAAGGAATTTAAAATAAATAAATTACTAATTACTGTACCAAGTACACTAATTTCATAGGCTGCTTGAATTCTAAATTTGTAGGGGAAATGAGGATTGGTTGAGTTGCTAAGGATCGTTCTCTTCGCTATCAAGGCCTAGGTTTAAGTCCCGTTGTCGCTAATCCCTCTTGGTGGGTAATCTATAAAAATAAAAAAAGGGGCTAAGACCCCCTTTGTAAGTCCTCAAAGAGGCCTTGGTATGCCTGACCCTAGGATGGGGTAGCCTCCCCTCCCCTTAAACTTTTCTTCATTAAAAAAAAATAGATTTGTGAGGTATGCGTCTTGATTTAAAACAAAGGTGGAGATTAAAAGTTAAAACTACTTAATTGTTGTCATGTAAATTTAATATAACAAATCTCATTACACCACAAAACATAATAAGACAATGAAATATGACCCTAAATACAATGGCTATGAAATTGAACATAGAAACACTGCAACATATTTGTGCTCTCTGGCATCTATAACAAACTGTTATGCATTTTGAGTTACATCCAAAAGAAAATTAAAATGAAGAATCATAAATACATCCACAAATTTATAAGAGTTAAGTAAAAAATAAACAAAACAAAACCCAATAAGAAATATAAACCAAGAGACTTCTCTAACGAGTAACAAAGAAAGTTTGATGTCTCCTCCTACTATTGAGTATATACTCTAATACCGGTATTGGAACCTTGTTCAGCATATTGCAGCTTCAAAGGAATAATAACTAACACACACAAAAAAAAAAAAAAAGAAACACTGCAACATATTTGTGCTCTCTGGCATCTATAACAAACTGTTATGCATTTTGAGTTACATCCAAAAGAAAATTCAAATGAAGAATCATAAATACATCTATAAATTTATAAGAGTTAAGTATAAAATAAACAAAACAAAACCCAATAAGAAATATAAACCAAGAGACTTCTCTAACGAGTAACAAAGAAAGTTTGATGTCTCCTTCTACTGAGTATATACTCTAATACCGGTATTGGAAACCTTGTTCAGCATATTGCAGCTTCAAAAGAATAATAACTAAGACAAAAAAAAGAGAGTACACATTACTTCTTTTATTTTTCTCACTCTATTTAGGTGAAACAAGGCTCTCCAAGTAGGTTTCAACACTACTAACTTTGCCGATTCCACGAACGCATAGATTTCGAAAGCTGTGATTGTTAAAATTGTACATAACTAACTTTTCTCCAAACACCATCAAATCATGAGACTTTGTCCAGAAACCAGAATTTGACAAGTCCCAATATGGGATGGAGACCCTCATTTTAGTCCAAGACTTGCCAACTCTATATTCCTTCATGACCCAAAACTCATTGTATGTTGTTTGATCATAATCACCCTCATGCGTTACACATAACCATTCCCTGAAGACCCCGAGCTTAATACGCCTAGTTTGAGAAGAGTTGAATTCGCGCGGCAGTGGCATTTCTTGAACAAACTCCTGATCTTCTGTTAAAATGAGGGAGACAATCAACAAAGATGAGTGATCATCATCATCTCCGATGACTCTTGTCCCCAACCAATGGAGATTTCCATTCAGTAGGGTCCCTTTATTTCGACAAGGATAGATGTGGTAGGGAAATAGGTACGGAATCTGTCGCCAAGAATTGGTTTCCAATGTATACACATCAAACTCAACCCCTTCATCCATGTAGATGACGCCATTGACGACCTTGTGTTGATGAGTGGAAGAATCAAATCCAAACCCATATACGTTACAAAAGTAGCGGTCATCAATTTGATATTGGGTTGGCATTTCCGGTAGTTTCTTGGATTGCCTTGTTGCTGGGTTAATCAAATATAACTGCGGGTCATACAAAAACATGCATAACAACAAGCCGTTGCAGCAACCCAACATGGACACCGAAATACCTGATAACTCGCTATAAATATACTGGAGCTCCGTGGCTGTTGTTACTAATAAATTACTATCACCAACCTTGTCATCGTCATCATTGATATCGAAACTGTTACGATTGCGATTATCGTGATCGTATGATGCAAGAAACTCATCATCGTAGTCAAGGTGCATAGAGTGGAGGCCATTACCTGCGGCATCAGTAAATATGACTCTTCTTCTTCTTCGGAAGAGTAGATCATCTTTATCCTCCCCAATGCCTTTGTACAAGTGCGATGCAACAAAACTGGGGTTGTCGGAGATTAGGGAACTCCATGGCTTTGAGACACACTTGAAGCGGCATAAGGACTTCACTGGTAGCCTTGATAGAATCTCCTCTATCATCGTTGATGGAAGCTGGCCATTAGTAGAGTTAGAGTTTCCGGCGATCGTTAGCCCCGGCGCTTCCATTTTCTTTCTTTCTTCTTCTTCTTTCTAACTAGTAGATAGAGAAAAGAAAATTTAGAAAATATGCATAGCTTCCAAATTCTCTACACTCTCCATTATTTCTACTCAACCTTCAATATCTCCTCCTAATTTGACACAGTCCACTCGCGCAGACTTGGAGTTGAATTAATGGGTTTTTGTTGCGTCAGACTTGGATTGATGAATGTTTCTCCTTGATTTAATGATTTATCAGGTTCATTAAAAGATAATAACTGAATGTATTTGTATACGCTAGTAGGCTTCTAAATTTTATTTTGGATATCCTACTTCTCTTCCATTAATACATCCCTAAATAACTTAAATTCCTCAAATTATATTTCCCTAACAGACAAATGAAATTACCAAAAACACCTAAATTCCTCAAAAAATTTATTGTCCTCGCAATTATAGAAACACCTAAATTCCTTCAAATTCATTTAGGTCCTAAAATGAACAACTCTCGATATAACCTTTTTTTTTTTTTTTTTTTTTTTTTTTGTAAAATTGGATTATAGCACTACTGCTACAAAAAACAGCTAATAGATGACGGATAAAAAGACGACATCAAGAAAACAGTAAAACTTAGAAGCCTGCTTCATCTCTCAAATTATGTTTCTCCAATATTAAGTGCCCTACTTAGACATGTAAAATTAGGGAGAGGGGAATTCACAATGCTTAAGTTAATCAAAAGAGGAAGAGAAAGAGAAAAACAAAAAGAGTTTTTTCTCCAAAAAGCAAACATATAGCAACATATATTAGTAAAAATCTGAGAAAATAAAATATATGAGAGAGGGACTGGGCCCAACCTAGTCCTTAGTTGGCTCCGCCCCTGCTCTTTTTAACATATATACACGTCTTTTAAAAAACGTTGTAAAATTGCCTGTTCTACAACGGTTTCACTCTAGAACCGTTGTATATTTACATACCAAAAGCTGATAAATTGAAGGAACCATTGTAAAATGGCAAATTCCACAGCGGTTTCAGGACAAAAGCGTTGTAAAATAAAAATATTATCATTCATAACGGTTTTAGATCTCAAATTGTATTAATAGAGGACGGTGTAGGTGAAAAATCGTTGTAGAACAGCAAATTTCACAACGGTTTTAGGAAAAAGCATTGTGGATAATGTCATTAGACTACGGTTTCTATAGAAGACTGTTGTAGTTTGCATATAATTTGATTGTAAGTGATTCTCATTTCAATCTACATTCCTTTTTAAGCTGAAACATTCATAAGAATTTAATCAAGTAGTAGTTATCCTTGATTATAGGCTCAAAACATAACTCACAATTTCATTTATCATAGCTCGGAAATGTATCAAATACTTACAATATGCCAATTCACTTGTCAATATACAAGCGGAAGAGATTGAAAGCAGAAATACAAGGAATATATGTAACATCCCGGTTTTTTTATTTTGAAAACAAATGTATGTAATTAATTTCTGTTTATTTTAGTATGAGTAAATAAAGCTATGAGTTTTAATTGGTCATTAATTGGGTTTATTGAGTGATTATTCACCTAAAATCTTGTAATTAAAATTTAATGGCCAAGATTAATTTGTATTAATCAAGGGCCATGATTTCGTTTTGGTTCGGGTTTTCCGTTTTATTAAAACATTCTCACTGTTTTCCATTTTTGACTCACCAAACAATTTCTGGCCTCATTTTTGTTCTCTTAAAATGAAAACATGCCCTTAAAACATAACCGAATGGGCCCTAAATATTATTATTATTAGTTTCCATTTAAGAGAGCGTGAATTGCACATTATGAATAGACTAACTAAATAAAAAAAGTCACATATAAGTGTCTTTTCCTTTTGGTTAGGGTTTTAGAGCGACTAGATTTTTGCAAAGCGTGCGGCTAGGTTTGCTAGGTTTTCACAGTTCTCTTTGCTTTGGAAGCACAGCTTTGTTGGGAAGAAGAGTTTGGTAGTTTATGAGCCGAGCAGGCTATGTGAGTAATCTTCTCCACAGTTGGGGTCCTCGCTTCTCAGGCTTGGTTGGGAGGAGTCTTGAGTGGGCTCATGGAGGCTGTTGATGAAATTGTCTCTGGGATGCACAAAACGTTTGGAATCTCGGAATTTGAAGTTGTTGAAGTTGTTGGGGTCTAAGATTTAGCATCGCTTACGGCCAAGCCCTTTGAGAAGGAAGCGTTGTTTGGGACTCTGAAACATATTTGGCATATGAGGGAGGAGTTTACAGCGATTTCGTTCGAGGAGGTTTCACGTTTACTATTCTTCTTCAAGAACGAGTTTGATAGGAAGAAAGTGATGCGGGGTCTCCTTGGACTTTTGATTGTTGTTGCCTGCAGCTAAAGATGGAAGGGTAACTATGTGGGAACCAATTGTGAGTTCAAGCAGTCTGAGGGTTGGAGGTTGAGCAATATGGGCGGTGGAAAACTGCAGTGAAGGAGGTTTATAGTATTTATGTTGAGAATGGCATGAAATCCAGGAGGTTTGGATTGTGGGAAGATAATTCACGTCAGGTGATTCGTGACCAAGGCGTGCAGTTGTTTGGAACTTTGGAGCTGTCAGGCCTTCTGAGGCTGCATAATGGCCAAGATGATGGGGAGATGATGATGGAAATGGATGTGGACATAGAAGATATAGTTCAGTGCAAAACACTAAAGAAAAGAAGGATGGAGGTCGTTGGAGGGCACGAGGTTGATTCTGGACATCGAACCGAGTTCACAACTAAACGTTTTTGTGAGGTTTCGGTAACTACAAATTATAAGTTGGTGGATAAGAGTGATGTAGGGGGAGGTACTAGGAGTGGAAATAAAGGAAAACAGATTGTGATTATGGAGAAGAAGGTGGAAAGTGTGAGCCAATAATCTATAGCCAAAAAGAAGGATAAGTGGTTTCGTGTGGGTGGAGCTTGACCTAGAAGCAACCCTAAAAAGAGAGGGGGAGTGAATAAATGTGGGGAGGATAAGTTGGACAATTCTGTTAGCTCAACTGGACAATCTGTGATGGGTCCCTGTTCAAAGGGCCATCACGAGAAATGATGATGTTATGGTAGATTGTTCGTGGGTTGCGCAACCCACGAACACTTTGAGCTCTAAGATTTCTTCTATGAGATTCCGAGCTCTGATTTCTTATCCAAAACTAAGAAGATGGATGTCATATGGAAATGGTGAGACGACAATTAGGTATTGGCGTTGTTTTAGTATTTGTCAAGATGGTAGATCTGATGGTTTATCCCTCTTGTGGTAGCGTGAGGTGGATGTGAACATTCAATCCTTTTCATCCTGGATGCTTATATTGGTGGCATGAGGAAAGAGTTGTTTTTCGATTTATTGGTTTTTATGAGAATCCAGAAATGGGGATGAGGAAGCACTCTTAGGAGTCACTCAGACAATTGGCAAAGAATGAGGATGGACCATGGTTTGTTGGAGGTGATTTCAATGAGATTAATTATCAAAGCTCGCGAATATTTAGGCTGCCAGTTTAGGCCAATGGATCATATGCGTGACTTTGGTAAAACACTTGATGATTGTGGATTATCAATTGTGGGTTACAAACGACACAAGTACACTTGGTCAAACCAATGGAAGGGGTTTGAATTTGATTAATTTGGCCCCTATGATTTTCAATTCAAAAAGATTCAATGACAATCTCAATTTTTATCAACTTTGTTCAACTTCGGTTACTAGGGATGGCAAAAATCCCCATGGGGGCGGGTCCCTAACCCTAACGGGGGGAGATTTCGAGGCCAAACGGGTATCAGGTACCGGGATCCCTGAACTTGAAAAATCCCCGACGGATATAGGGGGATGGTATTGGCATCCCCATCCCCGAATCCGACCTGAAAATATATATGTTTATATTTAAGTAAATAAATATATAATTATAATATTTATGTTTAACCCCAAGTTAACCTCCCACTCCTAATTCTTCCTAATCTTCTCTGGAATTTCATATTGATGTGATTTTGAATAGTTGAGTTGAACTTTATAGTTAATTTGGATGTGTTGAATAATAATTTAATATGAAACTTAATGTTAAAATGTATGATAAATATTTTTTATGTAAAAAAAAATGGGGGATTCGGGGCGGGTATGGGGGATTGTCCACCGACAGGGACGGGGACAGGGATTCCCCGAAATCTATTAAACGGGGATGGGTTCGAGAATGGGGGCGGGGATGGAGAGTGGGGACGGGGATGGTATTGTCATACCTAGCCCCTACCCGACCTTTTGCCATCCCTAGTTACTATTAAAAGGGCATTTTTTGTCAAAATATTATTAAAAAATGATTTCCTTTTAAAAATAAAAACATTAATATAAATTTTGTTTTTTTTAAAAGTAAAAATTTAAAATTAAAATAAATTCTCTCTCCCATTTTCTCCTTCATTGGAAGCCATTTTGGAGGTTCTAGAAGCTCTAAAACAAGCCTCTCAGGGCTCGTTTGGTACGGTGGACTGTTATGGACAAGACTAAATCCTGAGACTATCTTGAATTAGCTCAGATTGGCCTAAGCTGGATTAAGTATTTACCTACGTTTGGTGCTTCGTCGGACTAAGAAGCTGGATTGTAAAAATAGTGAAGACCTATATTTGGTACTTTGTCGGACTAAAAAATAAATATTTCATATTTAAATTTAATTAAAAAATTAAACCTATAAATAAATAAATAAATAAAATTATAATATTTATTTTTTTGGTCAATTCATCATGTCATTAAACCCACGCTTGTTATTATTGTCTGTATGTAAAGTGGGAGAGTGAAACGTTTTCTTCTTCTTCTCTCTTCTTTATTTTTTTTATTCTTTCTCTCTTCTTTCTGATCTCATTTTCTTCTTTTCTTTTCTTCCTCTTTCTTTCCTTCTTTCTTCTCTCTGTTT